TTATGATTTATGCATTCATCTGACTGGTATCGTGATGCGCAAACCCATTCCCAACAATAGGCAGAACTCAAAACTGTAGGCCCAACATGTAAACTACTTGCAGCTTTTGGTAATGAAAGATGCAGTCAGTCATTGAAGTGTGTCAGGCTGTGGACTACCGTGGGTCCTCAACTGAGCAGTGTCTCTTCCCATTCACATGACACTGGCAGCCTCTCTCCCAAGAGTCAACTGAGAGTTTATCCTAACTCCAATGCCATGTGAGCCACTAACATCCCTTCCCGTGGCAGAGGCAAGCCCTTACTTGACAGCTCGTGGTGGATGAGTTCGGCGAAGCTGGGGTCGTCCCCCCACCAGAAGAGCCAGAGCTCACGGCGCCCCGGGGTGTGGTGCCTCCGCCACACGCTTAGCACGTCGGCCGCCAGGCACCGGCTGAAGCTGCACAGGATGGGGTCCTCCTCCGTCACGGGGAACAGGATGGGTGAGGAAGTGGGTCCCTGCCACACAAAACGTCGCCATTTTATCCCAGTCAGGTCAGCCTGGGGGACAGGGTAAGAAAAGAGAGAGCTGAGACAGAGGCACAATCCCAAATGGACACCACACCCTATGGACTTGTAGAGATCTGAGAGGATTTGACAGGTGCAACTAATATGGTAATAGCTCCACCTCGACCCTCTGATAAGCTAGGTGGAAGTTTCACCATATTGCTTATACCAACCAAATCCTTTCAGATCTCCAAAAGTGCATTGTGCGTAGGGTCTATTTGTGATTGGCCCAGAGACAGAGGCTGCAAGCCGGCTGAATGCAAAGCAGAGCAGTAGCAGCCTGACAACTTTAACAGCTGCTCTATCCAATCAGTGTGAAGCACCTCCAAATACAAAACGTAAAGGAATGCACCAGTTCCTTCTGTGCAACCTAACCTTCCAACTCATTCGTTTTTAGGGTTCAAAGGGTGGGAAACCCCTTTCTATCAAAGTATTTAGTGCTAATGGACATTACCTAGAAGATTCAATATAGAATACCTTCGAATGCTATGCAACACATTTGCCAGAAAAATAATATAGAACCAATTCAAAATATGACAAGACATTTCTTATATCCTAGTTTCAATAAAATAGGCAGTTACAGAATCATTAAAACGATTGGCCAGTAGACCCTCAGTCTAATAGCTATAACTAGTAGCCTATACTTTATATAAATGTACACTTATCTGGGTACCCTGCTGAAAGTTCTATCCATAAGGGAGGACCACATAATACTACAATGAGGAAGTGTGAAACTCAGTAGCTTCGTGAGTTGTAGTTGACAGTATTGGCAGGAATGCTCACTGAAGAAAACAATACTGTAGACATAGTCATAGGCTGACTCATGATATTGTTGGCCTAAAAAGTTAACCATAACTAGCTAGCCAAGCATAAAGTTGTAAACAAACGTTAATGTATGACTAGTTGCTAACTAGTTGGATAGATGCAATTGAAATCAAATATATAGCTAATGGTGCTGAGGTGAAGAGAATCATAAACAAATCACAATGACAGACAACCTCACAAAACAACCTGAACCTAGCAAGCCAGTTAGCCAACATTAGCTAGCTAGCGAAATGATAGCTAGGTAACTAAGTATTTTTGTGGTTGAATCTGGTGAACTTCAATTGCTATAAACTAACATCGTATCAACCAAGTATTAATGTTAGTTAGTTAAATTAGCTAGCTAACGTTAGCGCACTTGCAAAATTGCATTAGCCAGCAATCTAGAACAGGCCTTGACGCCTCCACAGTCAGCTGTAGTCAAGCGGTTTAGCTTGCTGACTGGCTAGCCAAAATGGCTTTCTGGCCTCAGTTTGAGCTAGCTAACGTTAGCATGCTAACAGTGAGTTTAATCACTTACCAGGCAAAATAGGTTGGAGTGGCAGTCCTCCAAACTCGCCCCGTTTGGTACAAAACATGAACTCATCCTCACAGCGTGGTTGAACAATCCATCGTCTCAGTTACTGAGAAGAGCAATATTTAGCTAAGTTTTAAAGCTATTTGATCTGGATATTGAGTATTTACTAAACTACCTCATAAACTAATATGCTAACTGGCTAGTTATTTATACAACCGGTTGATGGCTAGCCACTACGCTAGCTTTAGCTAGCTAAACAATCTCGCTGTCTTGATAGCCAGCTAACGTTAGCTAGCCAGCTAACACAACTAGTTAGCTTTCTACGCTAACAAATTCGTCAACCCCACTTCGAGTCCGTTTTCTTACTTTACTTCACTATACGTTAAATGAAATATCTACACGAACCATACCACAACCTCCCATAAAGTGATCTACTAGTAATCTAAAACAATTTCAGAGCAAAGAAACTCTCCCCTCCCCCTGAGTTTCGTTAGCTAGCTAACATAGCCAAGTCAGACTAAATAAAACAGTTAGCTAACACCACCCTTCTATTCCCCATAGTCGCCGGAATCCGATAAAACTATAAAAACTTTCACAAAAATACTGAAATCATGATGTAAATGTCCAGTAAGGGTAAGCATTTGCGTTTACTGATTCTCGGGTCCTGCAGGTTTCCATTTGAATTCATGGATTGAATTCTTTAATGGCGGCCAGGAGGACAACTCTGCCTCCCAACTCCCATTGGCCAATGTGTGGTAATGGAAAAGAGCGTGTGTGTGTGTGTGGGGGGGGGGGGGACTATAACTGATGGCTCCTAGCTGAGTTTACTGATCAAAGCAATGAGATTTGTATAAGGCAAAAAACACACACACACACACACACACACACACACACACACACATATATATATATATATATATATATATATAGAGAGAGAGAGAAATAGATGATAGATAAATATAAACAATATAAATCGGTTTTATAAATTACACTTACTACTATCAATAACATACATTGGCTATTTCTATATCAATTTTGTGTGCATCCAAGATATGGGTGATGCTGCCTACTAGAATATATGGGAAATATATGGGAAGGTGAGGTAGGGAATACCTGGGAGAATGCGATGAGAATGCTGACCTTGAGTTTGTCTGTCCAACAGGGAAACACTAATGTAGGAGCTCTGTGCTTCATGGAAATAGTAAAAACGGAACCTCTCATCCTGGCCCCAGGCAGTCCTGAGGCTGCACCTGAACATCGCAGGTAACCCTCCTCAAGACACATAGGCCTACTGCAAAAAAGCCCAACATGTCACCACAACTGGGCACAATGGGACATTTTTACTATATGTACTAAATGTTTGCATTTGTGCAAGTTTCCCCCCTGTTATTTTTCAGAGGATAATATGACATAAGGTAGAGCAAAATGGAAATAGAGGTTAAGGAGGGGGAATCATATCTCAGACATACACATAACTGTATGGGGAGCTCTGACAGAAGTTTGGCATACTTTCAACTCCAGCTGATGATGTGAGGGTATAATGTTTAATTTCCGGGGCATTCTCTAGATGTATTAATTCATATCCATCATAATTATTTTGGAGATTTCTGTTACAGCTATCATAATACATTTCTCAAATACTCCCCATACGATTTCAGGTGTAGAGTGACAGAGCACCCATTATTTTACGTTTGTCACGAGCGAAACTCTTCCATCCAATGTATATGAACATGAATACACAAAAATGACCACCCATACACAAAAATGTATGCACGCATGACTGTAAGTCGCTTTGGATAAAAGCGTCTGCTAAATGGCATATTATTATTATTATTATAAACATTGGGGCGAAGACCAATCCTGCACACTGTGCAGCTTGACCAAACTGTTTTCTGTTCCTTTGCTCCAGATTTCTGGGAAGTATTATCTCATATTTAAAGGGATACTTCACCCAAATTACAAAATGACATTGGTTTCCTTACCCTGTAAGCAGTCTATGGACAAGGTATGACAGCAATCCATACTTTGGTTTAGTTTCCCTGGGACTGTTTCCACATGCTAACGTTTTAGTATTTGTGTCACAAATCCCATTCAAGTCAGGGGACATGATGCGTGAAAAATGCTAAAATCGTTCCCATAACAAATGCTAAAACGTCAGCATGGAATCAGTGCCAGGGAAACTAAACCAAAAAAATGAATTGCTCTCATACCTTGTCCATAGACTGCTTACAGGGTAAGGACACCAATGTGCCCTTTACATTTAAGTCATTTATCAGAGGCTCTTATCCAGAGCGACTTACAGGAGCAATTAGGGTTAAGTGCCTTGCTCAAGGGCACAGACAGTCTTTTTTCACCTAGTCGGCACGGGAATTCAAATACCAAACAGAACATCAATACATCCAGTGTTTATCTAATAAAATCTCATAAAACCTTCAATACGTTGGAAAAAGGCTAATGATAAGGATAAAATTGATTCATTTCACAAAATATCATATGGTTCATAATGAGTATAAAATCTAAAGTGACAGTATCACTGTTTTTATCTGGCAAAATCCAAAGTGCACCTAGTCATGCAGTACCACTTATCACCATGTGGCAACAGCACCGGTATGAGAAATGTATTTTTACAGAAGTTGGCAGAAGCCACCCTGTCTGGCTCTCAGACTGGATACTGCTGATTTAGAGAAGATAGTAGCATAGATTTACCACAGTGAAGAAGAGGACGTCAAATAATTTATAAATGAGGTTGTTGACGCTGGCAAATATTATTCAAGGAGAGCTGGTACAACAGGCTGGAATGCTGAGTTACTGACTTGAACTGGCCATATTTACTTTATGCCAAGGTTGGCCAGGCAGCATAATTTAATCTAGGCAGGATACGAACCAAATGACGTTTAACACGTTTTAAAGTCTAGGTCATAGTCCTGGGACTTTGTCACAGTAATCCTAGTCCCACTAAGCAATGGTACCATCCCAACAATTAAAAATACACTATGACAGAGTTATTATTCATTTTAGTGTGGTGCATATTGTTTACTATTATAGAGGATATGCATGTACTAATTTAGCTCTTACCCAACAACATTCTCTCCCATTCAGTTAGTGATTCAAACACTAAAAGTGAAAGAATGTAAAAAGTAAACATAAATTTTTATTGAGGCCCTCATGAATCGATCCATCATTGATATAGCACAGTAGATGCATCCCTTTTGTAAAATACTTAAGACATAAAGCTATGTTCAGAACCTCAGCTTATTGATACCCCTCCCAATCATATATATTTTCAATTAACAATAATTCATATGATTTCATTCTGAGCCAGGAGGCAATCTTCAAGAAATACTGTCAAATCTCCCAAGTGTACAGTGGAAGCAATTCATTCCTCATCAGCAATCGATCATCTAGCATGATGCACTTTGGATTATGTTTTATATACTGCACATTAGTGTGAATTGTGACAGGTCACATTTGATACGTTTTTATCTCATTCCTTTTTTTGTGGTAGGATGGAGTAATAAAAAAAAAGTAAAATATCCAAAGTGATGCCCCATCTCGCTGGTCCAGTCCTGATAGGGGTCAGGATGCAGAGGTCAAGGGGACCTGAGGCAGTGGCTTAGTCTGCAGATCTCAGCTGCAGCACACTGGAGGTTAGCGCCTGAGGGAGACTTCAGGTAGTGATGGTGTGTGTAGAAGTGAAATTTTGAGTTTCATTGTCTCTAGTGTCCTTATCTTAAAAAATAAAAAATTAAAATTATCAACAAAGAAACAAAATCCTCTAAGATGAGCTGCTGGTCATAGGTTCATGCGTAGATGCCCGGGCCTCTTGGCCATGACAGGGTAGGCCTGTTGTTTGAACTGGGACAGGTTGGCCCCCGTAGGCTGGCGGATGGGCAGGGGGGCTGAGGCCTCAGAGCTGGCCTGCACATCCATCTGTTCTGGGGTTGACACCTCCATGACCTGCTCCTGGGGCGACTGGAGACAGAGAGAGGATCCGCCGGGCATCAAAGGGCCTCGGGGCCACATGTCACTAGCAGAGAACTTGAGAGGGCTGAAAAGGAATAGGGGACATACCTTGACTATGTGGTGATGAGGCAAATTCAATGTTGTACAAGCTATATAGGAACAGCCGAAGTGGCTGAAATGACAGAATACCTGGCTGGTGTTCTTGGGCTACCCAAAAACCGTCGGGGTGAGCGGATTTTTGGCTCGAATGAGAACTTTTCCTTGACGTTTTCCAGTACTGATGGAGCAACATACGTAAAGCCCTGCAGAAGGAATGACAGAGGGGTTACTGTCACCAGTACTGCCTACAAATATAAAAGGAGAAATTAAGGTGAATTCTGTCATATCATGATTTTGTCTTATGAGCAAAATGAACACATGTACAATGCGATTAGACAGGTTCCGAATTTATGTGAAACATCACAGCCCAGTTGAAAAATATATGGCACATGGAAATCATAAGAGGGCGGTTTAGGGAGATAGGTGGGATGGACTGAGAGTAGCTGAGGGGTGGGTTTAAAAGCTCATGTTCTATAATAGTTATAACTGAAAACGTCATGTATAAGTACTATCTAGATGTAATGTATATCCAAATATCAAATTACTTTATTTGTGCCATGTAAAAAAAAAAAAAAAAAAAGTGTAATGTGTGTAAAATGTACATGTAACAACAAAAGAAAAACCTTTAAACTAAGTTTATTTTTTTCCTCAGAAGAGGGCCTGGATGGGCCCCCCAAAATTAAAACATGTAATCTCTAACAAGATATGTAGCAGTCTTACCAGAAAGGCTTGGTTGGCGCTTTCACTGAGCGTGGAGTCGTCTGGGCTGTCTACTGGTGTCTGGCTGGTGAACTTGGAGTCAAACTGGCTTACGTCTTCAGCAGATTGCTATGGATAAAACAGATCAGGTATGTTACAGAGTCTAACGCCTTTGAGAGCTGGAAAGGTTGTCTAGAACAAACAGAAGCTCTTCTTCCACTTACCAGGAAAGGCTTGAAAGGAGCCTCCACTTTCCTGGCCAGGAGCTCTTCCCAGTTAATGTGTCGGAAGAAGGGATGAGCCTAAGGAAAGATCAGCAAAATAATTATTATAACAATAGCATTTTAATTTCAATACTTCCCTGTCCCCTCTCACTTTTGAACACTTTTTATTTAGGGTCATCTTCTGTTGTATTGTGATCAAAGGCTTGAGACAGAAAGTGTCGCTTGCCAGAATGGGGTAGAATCTCAAACTCTCCTGCCCTCTACATTCTCAAGGTTGAGGTCACATTTGTCTTGGCAGCATCAAGTCACTCCTTCTCTTGTTCTCACCTGCACCTCTGTAGCATCTCCAGCCACTGCTCCAAGTCTTGACGAGGCATTTCTCTTCAGCAGCTTAAAATCAAGAACAAGGAAAAGTATAAATACTTATGCGATTACCAAAATGAAAATAAAAAGGTAAAATATGTTAAACAAATAGTTACCCTTTTCAGGAGATCTCTGGCTTCTTGTGTGAGGTAGGGTGGGAGGTTCAGCTTACATTTTAAGATTTTGTCAATGGTCTTCTTCCTGTTTTCACCAGTGAAGGGTGGCTACATTTGAAGAACAAAATAATAACCTTGGGTCAACACTAGGGCTGTGGCGGACACAAAATGTAGTCAGCCGGGTGATTGTCAAGCAAATGTCGGTCTCACGGTGACCGTTAATTAACAAACACATTTAGCATCTCCTGGCTTCCACACATAGCCTACAAGCCACTGATGCAGACCTTTGGAACATCTACATTTTAAAAAGTCGAATAAATCCATGTAATATAGCCTACACCTACACCTTTTAGACAGGTTTAAAGACGCATGATATGAAGAAAATGTAGTCTACTTCAGAAGAAAAGAATAGCAGGTCCTGATGTGGCTATGCCAAATGGCTGTGGGCTACACTAGTTCATTTAGCAGACAAGATATGCTTAGAATTCCGTGGCATTATTTTATATTATGAATAATACAATTGAACAAAGCTGAATAAAATATAAATATTTTCTCCAAACGATTTGAGGGAGTGTGCGCACATGCGGCTATTCTGTGTTGAGCGGTTAACAAAGAAATACTCCTATATGCTTAATTTAGAGTTATTAATGTAACTTCAGTTGTTCTACAAACGTTGGGCTGTATGTTTTGATTTTTAATACATTGTAAGGCTGCATGATGAGACTAATTATGAGGCATGAGCTCTGCTTTGTTCTTTGCACAGGCTGTACACACTCCTATAGTCTCTCATTCACAATTTGACAAGCACTTGATAATGCCTCGAATTTCGCGGCATCCCCTTTGTGGCCATAATGCACCCAAAAAAATCCATGCCTATTGCGGCCCGGAGTGCTGCGTTGTGCCCTTCTCCCTGAGTTCTGCGCAATCCGAAGCGCCTCTCACTCACATGGCTCTCAATCACGTGATCGGGTCTTTCTCACAGGCTACAAGTGAAGACAGACACATCGGGGACGCAACTGGGCGCGTCCTTATCCAATTCCGAGGTGCATATTGAAGATATTGGAAGAACTGTCCACATTCCCTTTGTCAGCCAACAACATGAGTAGTCCTAACGAACAGCAAAAGCACTAGCCTATGTCAATCTACTATCCCCCATAGTGGTCCTCAGTAGCTCAGCTGGTAGAGCACGGGTAGTGGGTTCGATCCCCGGGACCACCCATACACACACAAAAAAATAAAATAAATGTATGCACGCATGACTGTAAGTCGCTTTGGATAAAAGCGTCTGCTAAATGGCATATTATTATTATTATAGTACAAAAGTCGACCTATTCTATTCTGCGCGAGAAATACATATTCCAAACATAGTCTGGGACAGTTGTGGGGTGCAATAGATCCCAAATTAATACAACCACTAGCATAAAATGTTGATATACTATTAGGCTATTTCTTCACATTATAAAGTGCAGCAATGAACACATTAGTGGGAAAACACCATTATCAAAAGTGACCGCAAATGCGATTATGCATGTAATGCTTTTATTATGAAGGTGCATTTTTATGGTGACAATTATCTTCCCCAAACTTCAAACTCACGTGCTGCTTATGTATGCCAGTTAGGCTCTAAACCCCTTGTACAGCGGATTAATGTGCTTAATTTTAAGAAGTTATTTGGCCACTTTAGTTGTGATACGAACCTTATCAAAACATATAGGCCTATGGGCTAGGCTACATGAGGTGTGTGACTCTGATTAGAAAAAGTCACAAAAAAAAGGCAGTTTCTTATGCTGGGCAAAATTCACAAGTGATAGGCTAATATTCTCACCCATCAGACTATTCTTGATTTAATCGTCTTTACATATACTAAATAATATGTGTGAAATTTGTTTTGATTTAGAATGGACCATTATCATGCGCCTGTCTCGAAACAGGGGCAGCGGGAAGAAATACATGTAATCTATGCACTTAAATAGCAAATAGAGGACACTTTTCCTGTGGTTAATTTTCATACCAGCCAGGTAGGCTATACTCCTGTTGTAAAGATAAACAATGTGCTTAATATTAGGAAAGTTGAGAAATACAGTGGGGGAAAAAAGTATTTAGTCAACCACCAATTGTGCAAGTTCTCCCACTTAAAAAGATGAGAGAGGCCTGTAATTTTCATCATAGGTACACATCAACTATGACAGACAAATTGAGAAGAAAAAAATCCAGAAAATCACATTGTAGGATTTTTAATGAATTTATTTGCAAATTATGGTGGAAAATAAGTATTTGGTCACCTACAGACAAGATTTCTGGCTCTCACAGACCTGTAACTTCTTCTTTAAGAGGCTCCTCTGTCCTCCACTCGTTACCTGTATTAATGGCACCTGTTTGAACTTGTTATCAGTATAAAAGACACCTGTCCACAACCTCAAACAGTCACACTCCAAACTCCACTATGGCCAAGACCAAAGAGCTGTCAAAGGACACCAGAAACAAAATTGTAGACCTGCACCAGGCTGGGAAGACTGAATCTGCAATAGGTAAGCAGCTTGGTTTGAAGAAATCAACTGTGGGAGCAATTATTAGGAAATGGAAGACACGGGGCTCCACGCAAGATCTTACCCCGTGGGGTCAAAATGATCACAAGAACGGTGAGCAAAAATCCCAGAACCACACGGGGGGACCTAGTGAATGACCTGCAGAGAGCTGGGACCAAAGTAACAAAGCCTACCATCAATAACACACTACGCCGCCAGGGACTCAAATCCTGCAGTGCAAGACGTGTCCCCCTGCTTAAGCCAGTACATGTCCAGGCCCGTCTGAAGTTTGCTAGAGTGCATTTGGATGATCCAGAAGAGGATTGGGAGAATGTCATATGGTCAGATGAAACCAAAATATAACTTTTTGGTAAAAACTCAACTCGTCGTGTTTGGAGGACAAAGAATGCTGAGTTGCATCCAAAGAACACCATACCTACTGTGAAGCATGGGGGTGGAAACATCATGCTTTGGGGCTGTTTTTCTGCAAAGGGACCAGGACGACTGATCCGTGTAAAGGAAAGAATGAATGGGGCCATGTATCGTGAGATTTTGAGTGAAAACCTCCTTCCATCAGCAAGGGCATTGAAGATGAAACGTGGCTGGGTCTTTCAGCATGACAATGATCCCAAACACACCGCCCGGGCAACGAAGGAGTGGCTTCGTAAGAAGCATTTCAAGGTCCTGGAGTGGCCTAGCCAGTCTCCAGATCTCAACCCCATAGAAAATCTTTGGAGGGAGTTGAAAGTCCGTGTTGCCCAGCGACAGCCCCAAAACATCACTGCTCTAGAGGAGATCTGCATGGAGGAATGGGCCAAAATAACAGCAACAGTGTGTGAAAACCTTGTGAAGACTTACAGAAAATGTTTGACCTGTGTCATTGCCAACAAAGGGTATATAACAAAGTATTGAGAAACTTTTGTTATTGACCAAATACTTATTTTCCACCATAATTTGCAAATAAATTCATTAAAAATCCTACAATGTGATTTTCTGGATTTCTTTTCCTCATTTTGTCTGTCATAGTTGACGTGTACCTATGATGAAAATTACAGGCTTCTCTCATCTTTTTAAGTGGGAGAACTTGCACAATTGGTGGCTGACTAAATACTTTTTTTCCCCCACTGTAAATATAGTAGGCCTAGCCTATAGAAAGCTGATGGGATCCTCCTCTTTTTAGTAGAGGCCATCACTCTGTTTTCTCACGCAATTGCATAGCCTATAGAAATGTTGCACAACATGAGCTCTCATGAAGTGTTTGATTGACCATCAGCAGCATCAGAGCTTGGAGAAGCCTAATTACCGTGACTAAACGTCACATGGTATTTGACTGCCTTCATGACTCGTGACCGTCAGTGTGGCGGTAATATGGTCACCGCAAAAACTCTAGTCAACACTGCTTGATTGTAACAGAAGTTGTTGTATTCCCACGTCATTATAAACAGGAGCCTATGAAATACGTTTTTCACTCACCGCTCCAGTCAGCATGTCGTACATAAGTGCTCCGAGACTCCACCAGTCCACTGCTCTGTTGTGTCCACTTCTCATCAGGATCTCTGGAGCCCTGACACAACAACATCAACATTTTCATCATCATTTCATGAAAGACTGAGGCAGTCAATTGATAAACAATAGCACAGCTTTCAACAGATTTACATGAACAACAGGTGGTGTGTATTTTAAAAAGTGTGACTTACATGTACTCTATGGTGCCACAGAAAGTATGAGTGACTGTGCCGCCGTGAATGGACTCTTTACACAGCCCAAAGTCAGTTAGTTTCACATGGCCTGGAAAAACACACAACACAGAAACAATTCAGTCAATTTCACTTTGAGGTGGACATGCAGAACATTTAGAAAATTACATTTCCTGCTGAATAATCTTGTGTAATAGTGATAGGGGGAAATAATGTAGTTACATATCGCAATATTATTTTTTGATTATATTATACCAATATTTGACTCTAATTATCAATTTATATTTGTATTTGTTTGCTACGGTAGGTAGCGTTAGCTAGCGCTAGTCAGCTCTACCTGCACCAAAACTCTGGTGTTTTTCATCCTATAGCTTGTTCTCCATCTTTTTAAATAGTGAGCCAACATATTTTCAGCATTTATTTCCATGTCTGATCAAAATCGTTTTCTCATGTCCTCTCGTGTCTCAGCAGCAGACTTATAGTGAGCAATATTTTTGGAACATCAAATCGCAGTATCGAATCGCAATACATATACAATCGTGAGAATCGCAATACATATAGTATCAGCACCTAAGTATCGTGATAATATCGTATCATGAGGTCCCTGGCAATTCCCAGCCCTAATGTCTAACATGAAGCACATATACACTACCAGTGAAAAGTTTGGACACACCTACTCATTCAAGGGATTTCCTTTATTTTTACATTGTAGAATAATAGTGAAGATGTCAAAACTATGAAATAACATATGGAATCATGTACAGTGAGGTAAAAAAGTATTTGATCCCCTGCTGATTTTGTACGTTTGCCCACTGACAAAGAAATGATCAGTCTATAATTTTAAATGGTAGGTTTATTTGAACAGTGAGAGACAGAATAACAACAAAAAAATCCAGAAAAACGCATGTCAAGAATGTTATAAATTGATTTGCATTTTAATGAGGGAAATAAGTATTTGACCCCCTCTCAATCAGAAAGATTTCTGGCTCCCAGGTGTCTTTTATACAAGTAATGAGCTGAGATTAGGAGCACACTCTTAATTGTGTAGATAGTAAACCTACACAAGGCTGGAATGGGCTACAAGACCATCGCCAAGCAGCTTGGTGAGAAGGTGACAACAGTTGGAGCGATTATTCGCAAATGGAAGAAACACAAAATAACTGTCAATCTCCCTCTGCCTGGGGCTCCATGCAAGATCTCACCTCGTGGATTTGCAATGATCATGAGAATGTTGAGGAATCAGCCCAGAACTACACAGGAGGATCTTGTCAATGATCTCAAGGCAGCTGGGACCATAGTCACCAAGAAAACAATTAGTAACACACTAAGCCGTGAAGGACTGAAATCCTGCAGCGCCCGCAAGGTCCCCCTGCTCAAGAAAGCACATATACAGGCCCGTCTGAAGTTTGCCAATGAACATCTGAATGATTCAGAGGAGAACTGGGAGAAAGTGTTGTGGTCAGATGAGACCAAAATCGAGGTCTTTGGCATCAACTCAAATCGCCGTGTTTGGAGGAGGAGGAATGCTGTCTATGACCCCAAGAACACCATCCCCACCGTCAAACATGGAGGTGGAAACATTATGCTTTGGGGGTGTTTTTCTGCTAAGGGGACAGGACAACTTCACTGCATAAAAGGGACGATGGACGGGGCCATGTCCTGTCAAATCTTGGGTGAGAACCTCCTTCCCTCAGCCAGGGCATTGGAAATGGGTCGTGGATGGGTATTCCAGCATGACAATGACCCAAAACACACGGCCAAGGCAACAAAGGGGTGGCTCAAGAAGAAGCACATTAAGGTCCTGGAGTGGCCTAGCCAGTCTCCAGACCTTAATCCCATAGAAAATCTGTGGAGGGAGCTGAAGGTTCCATTGCCAAACGTCAGCCTCGAAACCTTAATGACTTGGAGAAGATCTGCAAAGAGGAGTGGGACAAAATCCCTCCTGAGATGTGTACAAACCTGGTGGCCAACTACAAGAAACGTCTGACCTCTGTGATTGCCAACAAGGGTTTTGCCACCAAGTACTAAGTCATGTTTTGCAGAGGGGTCAAATACTTATTTCCCTCATTAAAATGCAAATCAATTTATAACATTTTTGACATGCGTTCAAATAAACCTACCATTAAAATTATAGACTGATCATGTCTTTGTCAGTGGGCAAACGTACAAAATCAGCAGGGGATCAATACTACCTTGTCTCAACAAAACTGAATGGCTGAACCCCATTAAGATGGAAAGAAATTCCACAAATTAACTTTTAAGAAGGCACAGCTGTTAATTGAAATGCATTCCAGGTGACTACCTCATGAAGCTGGTTGAGAGAATGTCAAGAGTGTGCAAAGCTGTCATCAAGGCAAAGGGTGGCTATTTTAACAATCTCAAATATATTTTGATTTGTTTAACACTTTTTTGGTTACTACATGATTACATGTGTTATTTCATAGTTTTGATGTCTTCACTATTATTCTACAATGTAGAAAATAGTAAAAAATAAATAAAAACCCTTGAATGAGTAGGTGTGAACAAACTTTTGACTGGTACTGTACATGCACAAATGTAGATATATTTACAGCTAATGTAGCATCAAACGTTGTCTGACTTGCAGTGCACATGATTGGAACTCAGGACATCTGTTGTGACATCCTTACCCAGCACCAGCATTACCTTGGTTGTTAAGCATGATGTTTTCAGGCTTCAGGTCTCTATAGATGATGCCTTTCTGGTGCAGATGGCCCAGAGCCATGGAGATTTCTGCCAGGTAAAAGCTGCAGATAAGAAAGAAACCACATTTACATTGTATATACCCACTATATTGATTTTTACTAAATTATTTTCTGTGCCACAGCCAACCTAATCTTCAGTTTACTGCTTTTGTAAATTGCATTTTCCCTTTCACCAACTAACATACTGGTGTAGGTTATTCCAAAGACGTGTCTTAGTACAGTGGATGTAAGAAAACTGACACTGGTATGACTACATTGCCTTTCGTCATCTCTACTCACCAGGCTGTGTCTTCCATAAAAATCCCCTCTCTTTCCAGTTGCATAAACAGCTCTCCACCTGAAAATTACAACAAAATGAATTAAAACTGAAACAGACACAATAATTGTAGTGTTGTACAAATGAACAAAGTAATTGTGGGGAGACTACACCAAATTAACTCTTTCACCAATTTAATTTTGAATCCTGAAATTGATTGAATTTCACATACCATAGTGTGCATTCTTGTCCAACTCTAGAGGTGCACAGACAGGAAGGGATGGTAGACAGGATGTAGGCACTACTACATACATTATGGTTAGATGCAATGAGCAGAGGAGGCTCATTAAGGTGTTGATGTAAAGTATGCAAAGGCCAACGTCCTGTGTGTGAAAACCAATTCAGATGATTTGAATAATAATTTTGGTGAAACCATCCTTTGGTCTCAGAATAAGAGAAACCATCTGCATGACTGGGACTGCTCATGTGTAAAGAGATTCAGTCTGACTCCCCAGCAACTCTTGGGCAACAGGAAGAGTGTGGAAAGAATGGATGGTTGTTTATCTTCGGGTGAATAGGTTATTTGGTGTAACTGCCTGTGTGACCCCTGATTTACTGACCGCTGAGGTACTCCAGGATGAGGTACAGCTTGCCCCCCGTCTGGAAGGCGTAGATGAGATCCACGATGAAAGGATGCTTCACTTCCTCCAGGATGTTCCTCTCCGCCTTGGTGTGGGCCGTGTCCTTAGCGTTGCGTACAATCATAGCCTGAGAGGCCCCAAAACATGAATGACCATTATTCATGCTAATACCGCTAGTCTGCCATTTCAAAAGCCACATGATAAAATACATTTAATTATCAGTTCAAGACGCCACTGTCAAGAATGCACTAACATTGAACTCAGTGTTGCTGAGAACATTTGTGTTTGAAATTAAGCAATTGGCTTTTCTGTGCATTTTTGTAGCATAGCTTGGTGGACAAATCTTGATGAAGTGGTATGTGACTGCATCTGTCATTAAAGTCCCTTTCACTGATCAAGCAAAAGCACTGTATCTATTGTGCAACATCTAATGGACTGAGACAGCTTCTTAATGCCAAGACTGCAGCAGCGAAGATGGCAAACTACCAACAAGACCATACCCACCAACAGGCTTCAAGGAAAGCCAATATTCGCAGACAGAAGCAACATAAAACAATGTTTATTTGTCATATTTACTAAGTTTGAGACAAAATTGAGAGAAGATGGATATGCATGCTGCCAATGATGTACTAAATATAAATAAATGTGTGTTTGAATATTGTTTTTAGGTACCTTCTTTAAAACCTTCATGGCAAATATCTTCCCCGATGCCGCTCCAGCAACTTTTCGAACTTGAAAAACCTAAAAAAGAAGAAGAAAGGGAGTAACCAGTTCAACACAATGGGCCAGGCCAAATAATGACAAGTGTGAGATGGAATTTGAATAAAACGTCATAAAAGCCTATGAAAAAACATTTGAATAAGAGGAGGATGCATTTTCATGGCTCTCAGGGGAACAGTACCGTACCTTTCCATAACCGCCCTTTCCCAGCACCCGCAGCAGCTCAAAACACTCCGGCCTGATGTTCTCTGTTCCTTGGTTGACGTTGTCCTCAGATATCTCTATCTTCTCACAGTCGTCCATATTGCTGGGGAAATAAGTAATGTAACTATATGCTCACTTACAACACACTGACCGAAGCGCGGTACAATTTCTGTGACTGGTCAACAGAATGATTTAATCGACCAGGCCTTCATAATGCTAAGTGTCAACACTTACAATTCAAAGCCGCTGCACTGGTCCATGAAATCGTTGATCTGAGCCTATGACAGAAAATGTCAAAACAAATCTGCTTTATAACTGAAATCACTGCAGAGCCATAGAACAGCAGTAGCATCTCATTAGATTCAACAGGAATATTGATTATTTTATAAGTGTTCAATCTTGACTACAAGATGGAAGGACATCAACTGAAATCAATGCAATGTTAGCTAAAACATTTACTCAACATAGTCCAACATGCAAGAGTATATCATCATGTGTAAGCAGGTTAAATTCAAATATGTTTTGTTACCATTTATTTCAAAACCCTGGATAGTGAATCTAGAGCTGTAGACTGCTTTTAAAAATCTTGACAGCCTTGGAATTGACCCCTAATTTACATGTATTTTGTCATAAATGTTTACAAATCTTTATGGAGGTAAATATTTTACAGCCAAAAAACATGTAACATGATATGATATTTAGTGTTTCCCAAAAGGCACTGAACTTGAGATGTTCAATAGAGTACGAAATGTTTACGCAACAGTTGTCATTCTTGGTAGCTAACTGTCAGCGCATGAATACAGTTCGTTCATACCATGTAAGCATGGCCGTATACAGCCTAATCACTAGCTAGTTATCACAAATTGTTCAGATAGACCTATCAAAACGGTGCATGTCCACTATAACCCATCATCAAATCTTGTCCAAATTGGGATCTGCCTGTGTGTCCACATAAGGACCTCCAGTCCATATTGTTCCAAACTGCAGAAGTGTCAAAATAAGCTGTTGCACACCAGCAACCAAAGAACGCTTGCCTTTGCTGCAGTGACTGTCTAGCAAGCTTGAAAATATAATATTCAATTATTAGTATAAAGCATTAAGTATGCAAATGTTTTAATTAAATGTATAACAACTATCTCGTAACAGCTGAGAACAAGTGACAGCTCATGAGTTAGCTGGCTGATCTGTGGCTAGCTAATGTTAGAAGGCTAGCTGGTAGCGTTGTCAAAATTGGGCCTAATGCATTAGCAACAAACCAAGACGACAGGCCTGGCTATAGCAAACTAGCTAGCATGGCTATTAGCAGTTACATCGAATCCTCGTGCAACAACACCCGACAGAATCGAGAAAATTACCTCCTCGAGCTCATCGTCGGAGACATTTTCCTCCGGCTGATCCAAATCGATGTCGAATACACCCGCCATCGCTGCTTTCGTTCAGGTTCAGTCCGTGAGAATAGCTCGCGCTCTCCGCCTCATGGACAAACACACATCGGCGCCGCCATAACCGGCTACTACACAGAGCATGCGCACCACACAACCAACCAAGTGAAGCGCCGACCTTGATCGATTTGTTGCAGGAAACGCGGCGAGCTTCAAACCAGACTGGAATCCAAATATGAAACTGTCATTGACAGTTGGAGGAGGGTGCACCCGATAGCTAGATTGATTTTATTTGTGTATCTAGCAAGCTTATTTTCCACACATGATCAGTGAACATTTAGGCTAACATACTTGTAAACAACAGATTTTGCAAGCAGGAATAACAATGTCCATCGTGACAGTACAACTTGGACAATGTGGCAACCAGGTAGGCCAAGACAAGAGTTGTGAGAGGTGATCAGCAATGATGCAAATGATACGCAAAGAAACGTTTACAGTGAATACAGCAGGGAGCGGTTCTTCAATGAGACTGCCAATAGAGGTAGGTTAGCTATTCCTAATGATAATAAGCTGGTGCTCCTCTTCTAACATGTAAACTCAACAAATGTGTATTTAACATTTAATGTTGTCTTTGGAACCCAAAGTAATCTCACAGAGTATTGCAAAGGCTGCCAAATCTGGGAAGTGGAGATATGGGGACCATTCACACTTCAGTCAGAAACAGGGATCTGGAAACAACTGGGCAAATGGGTAGTTTATGGGCTGGCCACCTTGTAATTATAAAGGCTCTGAGTTTTTCATGACCACATGACATTATAGGAAAAACTGGTCAGGTGACATCATGTGGTTAGGAAAAACTCTGTGCCCCACAGCAGTGTCCATAGCACTGTAATATGACAACACTGTGTTTTCCTTTCTTTGTGTGTGGATACTGTGTCCATGGACCACGTCATGAGGAGTTGGTGGTGGACATCGTGAGGAGAAAGGTGGAGCGCTGTGACCGTCTGGCAGGAATCATGGCCGTTGGTGGTGGACATCGTGAGGAGAAAGGTGGAGCGCTGTGACCGTCTGGCAGGAATCATGGCGGGGGGCACAGGGTCAGGGGTGGTAACATATGCCACTCAGTGTCTCCGGGATGCCTACCCAAACTCCTTCATCCTCAACCACCTGACATGGCCCTATGACACTGGAGAGGTAAGAGGCTTGCTTCAGCACCTGGAAAACATCACAGATCTGGCAGATAAAGGCCTACCATTTATGTTTTACAATATAGACATATTTCCTATGGAATAAGCATTAGATTTTTAAATTTTTGTCATTTAGTAGACGCGCTTATTCAGAGCGACTTAAAATTAGTGCATTCATCTTAAGATAGCTAGGTGAGACAACCACATTTCCAAAGTAGAAATTACAAAGAAATTACAAGAATATAATTTCTGAAGGCAGAAACAACATCATCATCAGTACTCTTTGAATGACCAGTTTTACCTAATTGCTATTTTGTGTTTTCCTTTGAAGGTGATTGTTCAGAACTACAACTCTGTGCTCACACTGTCACACCTCTACCAGCTCTCAGATGCCATCCTGGTTCACGAAAATGACACGGTGCACAAGATCTGCGCCCAGCCTATGAATATCAAACACATATCATTCAGTGACGTCAACAAAGTCATAGCCCACCAGCTAGGGAGTGTTCTGCAGCCTGCACTCACTGGTGACTCCCATGGTGTCTACAATAGAAACCCCATAGGTGAGCATTTACATTTGACATTTTACTCATTTAGCAGACGCTCTTATCCAGAGCGACTTACAGTTAGTGAGTGCATACATTTTTTCATACTGGCCCCCCGTGGGAATCGAACCCACAACCCTGGCGTTGCAAGCGCCATGCTCTATCAACTGAGCTACACGGGACCTGTGCAGCATCAACACTGTACTGTAACAACACACATTCTGTACATATACAAACGTAAACCTATGCCCCTATTCAAATGTATTAGCAGAAACAAACCAGTGTCAAAGTCTTGAAGTTGCATATCACACACTGTGCACTGTGTTTCCAGGTGAACTGATAAGCGGCCTGGTGTGTCACCCAGAGTACAAGTTGCTCAGCGTCTGCAACATTCCCCAGGTGTCCAGCTCCTCCATGGCTTACAGCGTGTTCACCTGGTCGGGCCTGCTCAAACACCTACGTCAGATGCTCATTGCCAAAGCCAAAATGGTCACTGCATTGGTCAGAAATGAGTGCTGTACTAGTCTTGAACACTAGGGGGCAGCTTTGCCTAACTGTTAAATTAATAACTGTGAAATTCCAAAACAATTGATGTCCCCATGCAACTCAACTGTTTACTGTTCCATGTCCAGATATTCATGTTAATGCTCTGAGGACTATTATTTTTCAGGCATCAACTGGCAGTTGCGAGCCCCCTCTCTCCAGCCTGAAGGGGTAGAGAGGACCAAGAGTCACAGACGACCAGGCTTCAACACCTCCCTGGCCAACCTGCTCATACTGCGGGGGAAGGATGTGAACAGTGCAGAGATAGGTAAGAGACCAGTACATAGGTGTCTAACTACTATGGGACAATAAACATTAATACAGATACTGGTTGTTTCTATTCATTCTAGAATCCAACACTCCTTTTGAATGTTTTTATATCTATAGGTGGATTTCAGGATCCGACCCTATATACCCCCTTGCTTCCAACAGATGAGACTTTCAGCATGTGGAAAACTCCAGTCCCCTTTAACAAGTATGAGAAGTCTGCTACACTGGTCAGCAACAGCCAGGCTCTGCTGAGGCCTCTGGACAACATGATGGGGAAAGCCTGGAACATGTTTGCTTCCAGGTACGGTTAGATACATAATGTAAAAAATAAACAAACATGCATGCACTTATATTGACGTTTTCCAACAGGATGAGTCATTGTCGATCATTGCAAAAAATTGGTAATGGAAGACTTCTACTGATCTAAACTGCCTCATTCCCAGGTTATTGGGTTTCCACATATTGATGTGGTGTCTTTGCTTCCACAGGGCCTACATTCATCAGTACACTAAGTTTGGAATCTCAGAGGTAGATTTCCTTGTTAGCTTCACATCTCTTGAACAGGTCATCTCTAGCTACTGTCTGCTTTGGACCAGTAAGATAATGTTTGGATATGACTAAAACTGGCATTCAATCCGACCGCAGATTTGGACAATGCACTTTAAAGGTAATTATCGATTGAGCTAACATATGCAGCGTTCAGGAAAAAGAGGTTGATGTAACTGAGAATATTGTGAAGGACTTCCTTCTTACAGCGCTGCAGATTCCACTCGAGGCTAACTCGAACGTGTATACCGTTTCGGACAAAGAGGACAGAAATACGAGCGTCCAATCGTTGCCAAATTTGCTTTTTTTAAGGATAAAGCAATGGTTAAAAGCCTAGATAAAAGACTTGCTGGCACGAAAATAGGCATGAATGATCAGTTTCCGAGGGAGATTGCAGAAAGGCGCAAAGTTCTGTATCCAATCTTCAAGGAAAATAGATTAAAAGGGAAACGTGTTGCACTCGTTGTCGATAAACTGTATATTGACTACCAAATGTTCCGAGACACAAAGATTACTCCATGGCTATTCTGAAAGTTCTAATAGAGGAGTCGAATAATGGAACACCCAATACTAGCCATGATAGGGATTGTAATATTAAAGAACATGTATAGTATTTCATAAAAGGATAAGACGATATAACAAGAAAAGATAATAAGCATAATAATACATCTTCAAATACAACTAATTAGAACATTGCATTTTTGGCAGGCAATTGTTGTTTTGGCGGACGGTTGTTGTGGTTGGTCCTGTGTTCTCTCTGGCGTCCTTTCCCCCTTGCGGCAGGTGTGGGATGCAGGCGCGCGCTCGGCCCCTATCCTCCGCAATCAGCCATGTGGAGTGCGTTTTTGTGTTTGGAAAAGTCTGGCGTTAAGTGAGTGAGAGGGGAAATGGTTGCATATCCCAGAGCCAACGGGTGTCTATGAGCAGGGGTTGTGAGAGGGAGCTTTCAATTTTGTGTAGATGAGGGATATACATTTTTAAATATAGTATACATCTAATCTATTTTTTATTGTCCTATCATGATGGAACGATCCCCAACCCTATATCCTGGACACCCACCTGAGCGACCCATACACCAAAGAGAAGTTCCCATCTGTTTTATGGACCTGCTGTGAGTTGCCTATATGCAGCCTAAACAGAGAAATAAATGCGGTCAGAGACCTACTTGAGCAGCACCGCCCCCTCAAGATTCTGAGCCTGCCTGGCAGGGTTGGTCCTACAAAGCCAGAGCCCCCGATGGGGGAGCATAATATACAAGGAAATTCTCAAAGCTGCTAATGAGAACCTTGAAGACCTTGGGGGGGCAGCATCTGTTGCGGGGGGGTTGGATCGCAGTGGTTGTTTGCTGAAGTGGTAGTTGCTTGTTAAAAATGTAATGTAATACAATGGCAATTCGGGTTATAGGTTAAAATCCTACGCATGAATACCGACATTATTACGCACATTAATTGATAATGATGGAAAATAAGATATGCAAGATATTTGAATCGATTTTTAAAAAATAGCTATATAAATATATTGAGGTGAGAGCATTGGAAATGCTTTTGGCGGTTGACCTGCTTCTGTTTTGTGGGTGGCACTATGTGATGTTTTCGATGGATGGGTCCTGGCCCCTTGGGGGCATAGGGATCCGGGGGGACAGGGGTGGTATGCTGATCACTGGGATGACGGCCCAACTTGGGATGGGGAGGGGTTTTAGCGGGGGAATTAGTGGAGAACAATTGGAGAGTTATTTAGTAACATTGCAAATATCATGGTATAGCTAAATGGACACTCAATCACTATGGTATTTTCTATTGATACATTTACAAACATATATGATGACAAATAGATTTGAAACTTGTATCTCATTATGGTATGTGGTGAAATAAGTATAGCCAGTTATAATTGTAATGGCTTAGCAGATAATAACAAAAGAAGAACAATATTTACATGGCTCAAAGAGAAGGAATATAATATCTATTGTTTACAGGAAACCCATTCAACAATTCTAGATGAAGTTGCGTGGAAAAAGGAATGGGGGGGCGAAATATACTTCTCCCATGGGCTAAGAAACTCAAAAGGAGTGATGATATTAATTAACAATAATTTCGATCCGAATGTGCAAATTGTCCAAACAGATACGCAAGGTAGATGGATTATTTTAAATATGTTATTGGACCATAAACAAATATGGCTCATTAACCTTTACGGACCAAATAATGATGATCCACACTTCTTTGAAAATATATATAATAAATTATCGACCTTGCAAGCAATTCAAGACTCTATTATTATGGTGGGAGATTATAATACCGTTTTAAATAGCTCAATGGACCGTAAAGGAAATCACACTACAAACAATCACCCTCATGCTCTTAAGGAAATCGTGAATGTCATGGATACATTAGAACTAGTAGATATATGGAGGCTTAAATATCCTGATCTAGTGAGATATACATGGCGGAGACTCAATCAAGCTAGTCGTCTTGACTACTTTCTTATGTCATTCTCGTTGGCACCAAAAGTTAAAAAAGTGTTGATAGGGGACAGAATGCGGTCGGACCTTACTGCATTTCCACGTGGGCGAGGATATTGGAAATTTAATCAAAGCCTATTGGATGATAACTTGTTTTGAACTAGGACAGAGGAATTTATAACTGATTTTTTCCGACATAACATAGGTACAGCAAATCTCCTTATTGTATGGGACACCTTTAAATGTGCCTTTAGAGGCCATGCAATTCAGTACTCATCTCGAAAACAAAAGCAATTTAGGTCAAAAGAGTCCACACTAACAAAGTAAAAAAATTCACCAAATTATTTTTTAATCTTCAACATAGGAATGCTACCAAAAATAATTTATTGAAACTGGTTACAAATGACGGAGTCACCCATGATTCACCAAATGATATTTTGAAGGAGGAAACAAAGTACTTTAAGCATATGTTTTCGTTTCAGTCGCCTCCATCTCCTCTAACTTAAGCAATTTGTAGAGATGTATTCAATTTTATTTGGAACGGCAAGCCAGACAAAATTAAACGGGCCTATTTATATAATGAATATGAATTAGGAAGACAGAAATTATTAAATATTAAAGCATTAGACCTATCTCTAAAAGCTTCAGTCATACAAAAAGTATACTTAAATCCGAAATGGTTCTCTAGCAAACTAGTAAGATTGTCTCACCCAATGTTCAAGAAGGGACTTTTTCCCTTTATTCAGATTACAACCCCTCACTTTCAGGTATTTGAAAAGGAAATCATCAATACCCTGCAAATAGCACTACTGGGTGATCTGAAAAGTCATAGTCAATCGATCAATAATATAATAATATTTTTAGCAAAGATGTTTATTTTCAATTCACAAACTGTAGAAACAATGAGAATAGAAAGGTTCAGAAGTTTTGTAAAACATCACAGTACAGTTGAAAAATATATGGCAAATAGAAATCCAATATGGATGGTGTTAAGAGATAGATGGGAGGTGTTGAATGGAGCTGAAGGATGGGACTAATAACAACAAGATAACTAGTGTAAGACATGCTGTGTCCATAATAAGTATATAGGTTATATAGTGAGCTTTTGTGAAAGAGCACAGTTAGAAAAATATGGCATATAGAAGCATACCAGATGGACATCATGAAAATGATCGGAGGAAGTTCAGGAGTAAAAACAAACAAAATATAATTATTGACTGTGTCCATAAAATATATATAGTTTGTATAAGCATGAAGTAGAGGCCTAAGCATTGTTGTTCACTAGTTTACTCCAATTAGGGAGGGGATGGTGGGGTTGGAAAGTAATATAGGGAAATATATTTTTTAAAGGATATGTATGTATGTGTGTATATACATATATATATATATATATACACACACACATGTATATATGCGAGAAAAAAACATGAGATTGGAAGTGATGCAGACAATTACATTGTAACTTCCATCAATCTATCTGCAATATTAAAGCTGATCTACCCCCTAAAAAAAAATTGGAACATATGCAGCGTTTACTGCGAATGCGGTCTCTGAACATTGCCTTTAAAACATGCATTGCGGACAAAGCGCAATCATATTGTATTCTGGCCTAAGTCAATGAAAACTTGCAGGGAGGTGATGCTATATTTGCATGTTATTGGAAATGGAGATTTGTACAAGTAGAGTACGTGTGTGTAATTGTCAAAGGAGTCAAAGAGCATTCATGTTGAATGAATTACATGTACATTTTGTAATATTACAATAATTTCCATTATTCAAGTACATTTGGAGGGGTATAAAAACAATATTTTATATGAACAATACTTTTTTATTGAAGACAGCATGATTTATCAGATAAGACAACTGATGCACACAAAACAGCCATGATGGGAAGTTGTTTGATTTGATCCATTAGCCACAAAAGTTACTGAAATTAAGCACATGCTTGAAAGTTTGACTATGGTACAAAAGACAGCAGTCTTCAGATGGTTAATACCCAGAACTTCAGACAGCTTACAGACCGTTGTCGCCATGTGATTTAAACAGTCAACACCAGTCTGATAAGCTATCTGACAGGATGGGAGAGGGAGTAAAATACCTGCAACAACCAGGACCAAGTCTATACGAACCAGCATTGCATTCTTTTTTAAACAATAAGCCATCATGATATAAAACTCGCTCATATATATCTACTTTCAAATTACAACATATCAATTCCATATTTTCCATAACATATAGATTGTTTTAAATACATTATTTTCACAGAAATGAATCTCCAATATACAATATAGCGATCCGGATGCTTTTTGAGAATATTGGCACTTACCTTTTGGATGTTAATTATCTAAGAGAGGTTCAAGCATTCTTTCAATCTTGGTGGTCTGATTGCCTAATCATCATTACCTCAACAGTAGAATATGCTTTATACAATAACATGGGGCAAGCTTACAAGTATGGGAGCAATTGTTTACATAGTTAGACCTACAATGAGTAAAATAAAGATGGAAAAACTCAGACATGGAAACAAGAATAATGATTTAGGCATTTTATATATTCTGATCAAAGACTCAGTAAATGTATTTAATAAAAATGACACTAAGTTAGCTGAGTGTAATGTTAATTTACAATTGATATCACTTTCCTTTTCGTTCCGTTTTAGTTCAAGTTAGTTCATCCAGATCATTGTAAATACATGTGCATACATACCATCCAAAAAATATTTCCAGAATGTTCAAACCATCAATAACACGTTGAGACAACTTGATATTGCTATTTCCAATGGCAAACTTGAACGTCAAACAAATCCAAGAAACACAAATGGACAGATGGTCTATTTCTGATCAACAGGACAAAACGCAAGAAAAATTTAACCCTGAAAACGTCCTTAGCATCATATTAGCATACAGAAAGTCTGAGTCCATCCATACAGTGAAAAAGTATGTACAAATCAAGTCTAGTGATTAAGAACTGTGTTCAATGGAAGTAGGACCCGCCACCTTGCATCGCAGCTGGTATAGCTGCCAGCAAAACAATTGACATCCAACTGCTGCTTAACTGCTCATCATATCATTATAACATTATTAAATCACACACTAAACACAGATGAGTGGAAACTACAAAACCTTAAGAGGGACAAACACCACATACATCCGTAAGCACACACAGAATAGTGCCAGTTCAGCCTCTTACGAATGGAAGAGCGCAAGGTTAGTTTGTGAGACAGAGCTGAGGGACTCTCAGCACAGTCAGTTGGTGAGTCGTTATCACTTGGTTTTCTTCTCAGAGTACCTCTGCTGCTGACTCTGTTGTCGTCGCTTGGCGTAGCTCTGAGCCATGGAGTTGATGATGGAGAAGATAAAGTAACAGACCATGACCAGAACCACCTTCTCAAAGACCCACGAAAGCCAGTTCTCACTCTGCACAGAGAGACATTCATACAGAGGAATATTACTCTTTTGACACTAACACAAATACATTACAATTTGTATTATCTTGGCAATCAATAAAATCACATGCTTTGTCTGGACTTAGAAAGGATGGATGATGGTAGTAGTGCTCTTACTGCCGGGGTGCCTTCTCCGGTGTGGTGGTGGAGTTTACTTCTCTGGGCCTCTAGGTACTCACTGAAGGGCTTCTGTATGGAGGGACCTACCCTCGGCAGAGACCTGACACAGCGGCAGGGCAAGGACATCCACAGGCAGGGGAGAGGCGAGGAGGGGAAAAGAGAGTGGCAAAGATGGAGACAACATTATATCCCAGAGTACTTACCATACCAGCAGTATCCCTTCACTGGTAAAATAATTAGGCTTTGTAGAGGGAACCCTTGGTCCATAGGACCAGTGTTTCAAGAGAGCAGTCCATTGCTCAGGATGTCGAGAGAGTTCCATTTTCTACATGTTTCTAGTTAGGCATCAAGTCAGGCCTCTAGCTGTGAGTTCACACTGTCAGTGTAGTGGCTGAGCACACAGCAGAGTGAAGTGAGGCAGTCCTCTGCATCTCTCTTATTTATCCCGGAGATTCCTATAGGAAACCAGTCTGAGACCAATAACCAGGAAGTGACTCGATATGCAGTCATCACAGCCTTATGGGTGGAAACAGATCAAACTAGGCGTGTTCATCAATGACTGTCCATATATGGGAGGGAGAGCAAAGGATTAGATCACTGTGTGGGCCACTCAGTTCATAGGGACTCTTTAGATTATAGTTAGAGAATGCAGACAATTTGATTGGAAGAGAACCCTCAGAGACCACGAGGTACTATAACTTGTTACACCTGAATAAATCCACAATCATTTGTAGTTGACAGCACTATACCAAAAATTATTGCTATAGTTTAATCAATGTATCACAGCCATCATTAAATAGAATATACATATGGTTACAATCAGTTTCTTTTAATTCAGGTGTTAATATAAACTTCAACATTTTAAAACTTGACTAAACAGATTCAAGACAATTTACTATCAGGGTGTAAAAAAGTTAATTGGATAATTGTAATTGTTGATCTTAAACAAGGGCTATGGTAAGCCCATTCCCAGGGTAACTTTGACTGACTCACTCAGCCACACACAAACTGCTGCAATTACCAAAAGTCCCGATTCAGCATTCAAGCACCAGTATAACACGTCATAGCAAGTCAGACCAGTCAACCAATTGCAATGGTAGCAAGCAAGGGTTCTTTCTCATGCAACTCTTTTTAACTGTGAATAAAATGGCATTATAAACTGATCATTAGTTGTGAGTACGATTGTAATTTTATTTGTTCATGATGAAAAAAAGTTTGAGAAGAAATAGTCAAGGAAGAGCTGAAGATATTAGCTAGTTATGTTGGATGTGTAATATGGAAGTGATGATTTATTTTTCTTTCATACATCCAGCTGTTATTTTGTTTCCCTGCTGCTGTCGGGGAGATTCTGGTGCAGTCAAAGTTAAACTGCTGTGAGTCAGAACAGAACAGAAGACATTCCATCTGAGAGGATCCCACAAGGCTGGCTGATCACCTATGTGGGGGATTGGTTTGTGTGTAAGGGAAATACCCTGAATGGAGGAGGCAAACACACATCTGACTTTGATGTTATGCTTTTATGATGCTATTTGTTCAGAATGGGAATTATCAATCCAACAGCAAAACTGGTTTCAAACGTGCCTCAAGTATTGCATGTCGACAGAATCAAGCCATTAAACGTTATGTATCCTTCATTAGATTTGTCAAAGCTTAACTGGCGTTTAGCCTATATTTATGTAATTAAGTCTCATTAAAGTTTAGCCACATTTTCTTGCGCCTTCCTCATGTCAGCATCGGTTTGGACATGTGGCTGTAGCCAACATGCATATCATCTACACTTTTCTATTTATGTACAGTCGTGGTCAAAAGTTTTGAGAATGACACAAATATTAATTTTCACAAAGTCTGCTGCCTCAGTTTTTATGATGGCAATTTGCATATACTCCAGAATGTTAAGCGTGATCAGATGAATTGCAATTAATTGCAAAGTCCCTCTTTGCCATGAAAATGAACTTAATCCCCCAAAAAACATTTCCACTGCATTTCAGCCCTGCCACAAAAGGACCAGCTGACATGTCAGTGATTCTCTCGTTAACACAGGTGAGAATGTTGACGAGGACAAGGCTGGAGATCACTCTGTCATGCTGATTGAGTTAGAATAACAGACTGGAAGCTTTAAAAGGAGGGTGGCGCTTGAAATCATTGTTCTTCCTCTGTTAACCATGGTTACCTGCAAGGAAACACGTGCCGCCATCATTGCTTTGCACAAAAAGGGCTTCACAGGCAAGGATATTGCTGCAAGTAAGATTGCACCTAAATCAACCATTTATCGGATCATCAAGAACTTCAAGGAGAGAGGTTCAATTGTTGTGAAGAAGGCTTCAGGGCGCCCAAGAAAGTCCAGCAAGCGCCAGGACCGTCTCCTAAAGTTAATTCAGCTACGGGATCGAGGCACCACCAGTGCAGAGATTGCTCAGGAATGGCAGCAGTCACGTGTGAGTGCATCTGCACGCACAGTAAGGCGAAGACTTTTGGAGGATGGCCTGGTGTCAAGAAGGGCAGCGAGGAAGCCACTTCTCTCCAGGAAAAACATCAGGGACAGACTGATATTGTGCAAAAGGTACAGGGATTGGACTGCTGAGGACTGGGGTAAAGTCATTTTCTCTGATGAATCCCCTTTCCGATTGTTTGGGGCATCCGGAAAAAAGCTTGTCCGGAGAAGACAAGGTGAGCGCTACCATCAGTCCTGTGTCATGCCAACAGTAAAGCATCCTGAGACCATTCATGTGTGGGGTTGCTTCTCAGCCAAGGGAGTGGGCTCACTCACAATTTTGCCTAAGAACACAGCCATGAATAAAGAATGGTACCAACACATCCTCCGAGAGCAACTTCTCCCAACCATCCAAGAACAGTTTGGTGATGACCAATGCCTTTTCCAGCATGATGAAGCACCTTGCTCCCGAGTGGTGCAGCGGTCTAAGGCACTGCATCTCAGTGCTTGAGGTGTCACTACAGACCCCCTGGTTAGATTCCAGGCTGTATCACAACCGGCCGTGATTGGCAGTCCCATAGGGCGGTGCACAATTGGCCCAGCATCGTCCGGGTTTGGCCGGTGTAGGCCGTCATTGTAAATAAGAATTTGTTGTTAACTGACTTGCCTAGTTAAATAAAGGTAAAATAAAATAAGAAATAAGGCAAAAGTGATAACTAAGTGGCTCGGGGAACAAAACATCGAAATGATGGGTCCATGGCCAGGAAACTCCCCAGACCTTAATCCCATTGAGAATTGATGGTCGATCCTCAAGAGGCGGGTGGACAAACAAAAACCCACAAATTCTGACAAACTCCAAGCATTGATTATGCAAGAATGGGCTGCCATCAGTCAGGATGTGGCCCAGAAGTTAATTGACAGCATGCCAGGGCGGATTGCAGAGGTCTTGAAAAAGAAGGGTCAACACTGCAAATATTGACTCTTTGCATAAACTTAATGTAATTGTCAATAAAAGCCTTTGACCCTTATGGAATGCTTGTAATTATACTTCAGTATACCATAGTAACATCTGACAAAAATATCTAAAAACACTGAAGCAGCAAACTTTGTGAAGACCAATATTTGTGTCATTCAAAACTTTTGACCACAACTGTATGCTACCGGTCAAAAGTTTTAGAACAACAGGGTTTTTCTTTATTTTTACATTGTAGAATAATAGTGAAGACATCAAAACTATGAAATAACACATATGGAATCATGTAGTAACCAAAAAAGTGTTAACCAAATCAAAATATATTTTATATTTGAGATTCTTCAAATAGCCACCCCCTTGCCTTGATGACAGCTTTGCACACTCTTGGCATTCTCTCAACCAGCTTCACCTGGAATGCTTTTCCAACAATCTTGAAGGAGTTCCTACATACAGTGGCTTGCGAAAGTATTCACCCCCCTTGGCATTTTTCCTATTTTGTTGCCTTACAACCTGGAATTAAAATTGATTTATTTTGATTGGCTGAAACGCATTAAGGAAAGAAATTCGACAAATTAACTTTTAAGAAGGCACAGCTGTTAATTGAAATGCATTCCAGGTGACTACCTCATGAAGCTTGTTGAGAGAATGCCAAGAGTGTGCAAAGCTGTCATCAAGGCAAAGGGTGGCTACTTTGAAGAATCTCAAATATAAAATATATTTTGATTAGTTAAAAATTGTTTGGTTACTACATGGTTCCATGTGTGTTTTTTCATAGTTTTGATGTCTTCACTATTATTCTACAATGTAGAAAATAGTAAAAAAATAAAGAAAAACCCTTGAATGAGTAGGTGTTCTAAAACTTTTGACCAGTAGTGTACATGAAAAATAGATTAGAATATTATTCCAATGTTGGCCTCTCTGATCCAACTCTGTTCGGAGTAATTGTTTGATATTGTGATGTGTGATTTTTTCCTACTTAACAAGCATAAATGTTGAGCCCTGCCCCCATTAAAGCACAGAGGAAGGATGCTAAACGGACAAAGCACCGCGCTCTTCATTTATACGCATACATTAACACAGACACATACTCACCCGATCAGAGACACCATCTGTTCCACTATGTGCTTGCTGAAAGTTATGATAACAAACAGTTTCTGTGGGAAGACAAATGAATCAACTGGGGGATTAGTAATCAGTCTCAGACAGAGACATAGACAGTGAAAACCTGTACCGAGGTGGGGGATATATCCCATGTCTGCTTTGAACACAGTGACAAATGCCGTCCCAGCCAAGTCTGGACAGTAAAAGACCCTTGAGGTCTGAGGGAGAAGCACAAAGCATCTCCCGGACCCTGGTCCTCCTCCTTAACTCTGGAGGGCTTTGTCAGAACTGGTGAGATCACTGGCTGGTACCACAGATGGATTGGTCTGGTTAGACGACTCAGCACTCACCACCACAACTCACAGACACACACAGTCAGTCTCGCACCGTCTTGGAGTAAATTAGTCACTGTGGCAGACTCAACAATACAGCCGACAACTAAGAGTTTGATCTGGTTTACAAAAAGCAATGCTTCTCGTTAAAGTGCTCTCCATACTCCTTTCATCTGGAATGGTCTTCAACAGCAGCACTAAAAGTACTTCAAATACAGAAACCATGGAATTACAGCCAACTGAAAATATTCTGACATTAAGAGGTTGAGGGTAGAGGAAGTTCAGGAGTAAAAAAACAAACAAAATAAAACTATTGTAAAATTGACTGTGTCCATAAAATGTATATAGTATGTATAAGCTGGAAGTAGAGGCATAAGCGTTGTTGTTCGCTAGTTTACTCCAATTAGGGGAGGGGTGGTGGGGTTTGAAAGTAATAAAGGAAAATATATTTTTTAAAGGATGTGTGTCTGTATGTATGTATGTATACAGTTGAAGTCGGAAGTTTACATACACTTAGGTTGGAGTCATTAAAACTCGTTTTTCAACCACTCCAAAAAATGTATTGTTAACAAACTATAGTTTTGGCAAGTCGGTTAGGACATCTACTTTGTGCATGACAAGTAATTTTTCCAACAATTGTTTCATTGTATCACAATTCCAGTGGGTCAGAAGTTTACATACACTAAGTTGACTGTGCCTTTCAACGGCTTGGAAAATTCCAGAAAATGATGTCATGGCTGTAGAAGCTTCTGATAGGCTAATTGACATAATTTGAGTCAATTGGAGGTGTACCTGTGGATGTATTTCAAGGTCTACCTTCAAACTCAGTGCCTCTTTGCTTGACATCATGGGAAAATCAAAAGAAATCAGCAAAGACCTCAGAAAAAAAATTGTAGACCTCCACAAGTCTGGTTCATCCTTGGGAGCAATTTCCAAACGCCTGAAGGTACCACGTTCATCTGTACAAACAATAGTACGCAACTATAAAAACCATGGGACCACGCAGCCATCATATCACTCAGGAAGGAGACGCGTTCTGTCTCCTAGAGATTAACATACTTTTGGTGCGAAAAGTGCAAATAAATCCCAGAACAACAGCAAAGGACCTTGTGAAGATGCTGGAGGAAACAGGTACAAAAGTATCTATATCCACTGTAAAACGAGTCCTATATCGACATAACCTGAAAGGCCGCTCAGCAAGGAAGAAGCCTCTGCTCCAAAACCACCATAAAAAAAGCCAGACTACGGTTTGCAACTGCACATGGGGACAAAGATCATACTTTTTGGAGAAATGTCCTCTGGTCTGATGAAACAAAAATAGAACTGTTTGGCCATAATGACCATCGTTATGTTTGGAGAAAAAAGGGGGTGGCTTGCAAGCCGAAGAACACCATCCCAACCATGAAGCACGGGGGTGGCAGCGTCATGCTGTGGGGGTGCTTTCCTGCAGGAGGAACTGATGCACTTCACAAAATAGATGTCATCATGAGGAAGGAAAATTGTGTGGATATATTGAAGCAACATCTCAAGACATCAGTCAGGAAGTTAAAGCTTGGTCGCAAATGGGTCTTCCAAATGGACAATGACCCCAAGCATACTTCCAAAGTTGTGGCAAAATGGCTTAAGGACAACAAAGTCAAGGTATTGGAGTGGCCATCACAAAGCCCTGACCTCAATCCTATAGGAAATGTGTGGGCAGAACTGAAAAAGTGTGTGCGAGCAAGGAGGCCTACAAACCTGACTCAGTTACACCAGCTCTGTCAGGAGGAATGGGCCAAAATTCACCCAACTTATTGTGGGAAGCTTGTGGAAGGCTACCCGAAACGTTTGACCCAAGTTAAACAATTTAAAGGCAATGCTACCAAATACAAATTGAGTGTATGTAAACTTCTGACCCACTGGGAATGTGATGAAAGAAATAAAAGCTGAAATAAATAAATCATTCTCTCTATTATTCTGACAAGGTGTACGTAAACTTCCGACTTCAACTGTGTATATATATATATATATATATATATATATATATATATATATATGTGTGCAAGAAAAATATATGGGGGATTGGAAGTGACGCAGACAATTACATTGATGGAAGTTACAATCTACCTGCAATATTAAAGCTGATCTACCCCCTAAAAAATAAAATGTCTGAATATGTCTAATTGTTTAGTACAACTCAAATATTTACTTGTATGTGCATCTTGACGATGGCTTTCCCAATAAGAGTCGCTCCAAAGAAGGTCCAAAATGGTACCAGGAAGTGGCCACATGTTATACCAGCAAGGTCAAACAGAGGATTAGGAATCTGAAAGACAGGTCGTAACATGTGAAAAGATATCCTGTAATAGAGGAGTGCATTCGAATTCTACCTTCATTGCCATAACTTCATTGTAACAAACATCAACATACACTATCAACATACATGGCCAAAAGTATGTGGAGACCTGCTCATCAAACAACTCATTCCAAAATCATGGGCATTAATATGGAGTTGGTCCCCCCTTTGCTGCTATAACAGCCTCCACTCTTCTGGGAAGGCTTTCCACTAGATGGTGGAACATTGTTGCGGGGACTTGCTTCCATTCAGCCACAAGCGCATTAGTGAGGTCGGGCACTGATGTTGGGCGATTAGGCCTGGCTCGCAGTCTGCATTCCAATTCATCCCAAAGGTGTTCGATGGGGGTGAGGTCAGGGCTTTGTGCAGGCCAGTCAAGTCCTTCCACACCGATCTCAACAAACCATTTCTGTATGGACCTCGCTTTGTTCACGGTGGCATTCTCATGCTGAAACAGGAAAGGGCCTTCCCCAAACTGTTGCCACAAAGTTGGAAGCACAGAATCATCTAGAATTTCATTGTTTGCTGTAGCTTTAAGATTTCCCTTCACGAACTAAGGGGCCTAGCCCGAACCATGAAAAACAGCCCTAGGCACTATGCATTGGGGCAAGTAGCATTCTCCTGGCAACCACCAAACCCAGATTTGTCCGTCGGACTGCCAGATGGTGAAGCGTGATTATCACTCCAGAGAACGCGTTTCCACTGCTCCACAGTCCAATGACGGCAGACGCTTGGCATTGCGCATTGTGATCTTAGGCTTGTGTGCGGCTGCTCGGCCATGGAAACCCATTTCATGAAGCTCCCAACGAACAGTTCTTGTGCGGACGTTGCTTCCAGAGGCAGTTTGGAACTCAGTAGTGAGTGTTGCAACCGAGGACAGGCGATTTTTACGCGCTACGCACTTCAGCAGTCCCGTTCTGTGAGCTTGTGTTGCCTACCACTTTGCGGCTGAGTTGTTGTTGCTCCTAGACGTTTCCACTTCACAATAACAGCACTTACAGTGGATTCAGCTGAAATGGCTGAATCCACTAATTTGAAGGGTTGTCCACATACTTTTGGCCATGTAGTGTACAATATTCAGTGATGCGCTGTAATAATAAAGGCCTCAACTTTAAAATAGTATAAGATAAGAGTTCATGTCAAGTCAAGTCATCAAACAGTTGCCTGCAATGTAGTTTTGGACTTACCGAGGCACAGGCTAGAATCCCAAAGAATCCCACTTTCTGCACCATGTTCTGAACGCCCAGTTTTGCTCTAGTAACAAAATCCTGAAACATAATTCAATAGTTTATTATCCAATATTAATTAATGCTTCACACATTAAACAATTTCTACAATAATATATCAATATCATGATACAGTACAGTGCCTTGCAAAGGTATTCATCACCTTTGGCGTTTTTCCTATTTTGTTGCATTACAGACGGAGATATCGTGGACGTAGGTCGGGGTGCCTTGTAAAGATCCGACGGCGAACGAGTAAACTGCCTCTCCCATCAATCCTATTAGCCAACGTTCAAGCTTTGGATAATAAAATGGACGATTTAAGATTACGGTTATCCTACCAACGGGACATTAAAAACTGTAATATCTTATGTTTCACCGAGTCGTGGCTGAATGACAACAATGACAACATTCAGCTAGCAGGCTATACGCTACATCGGCAGGACAGAACGGCAGACTCGGGTAAGACGAGGGGTGGCGGTCTCTGTATTTTTGTAAACAACAGCTGGTGCACAAAATCAAATACTAAGGAAGTCTCAAGGTTTTGCTCGCCTGAGGTAGAGTATCTTATGATAAGCTGTAGACCACACTATTTACCAAGAGAGTTTTCATCTATACTTTTCATAGCTGTCTATTTACCACCACAAACCAATGCTGGCATTAAGATTGCACTGAATGAGTTGTACAAGGCCATTAATCAACAGGAAAACACTCATCCAGATGCAGCGCTCCTAGTAGCAGGGGACTTTAATGCAGGGAAACTTAAATCCGTTCTACCTCATTTCTACCAGCATGTTAAATGTGCAACCAGAGGGGAAAAAACTCTAGACCACCTTTACTCCACACACAGAGACGCATACAAAGCTCTCCCTCGCCCTCCATTTGGCAAATCTGACCATAACTCTATCCTCCTGATTCCTGCTTATAAGCAAAAACTGAAGCAGGAAGCACCAGTGATTCGGCTAATAAAAAAGTGGTCAGATGACGCAGATGCTAAGCTACAGGACTGTTTTGCTAGCACAGACTGGAACATGTTCCGGGATTCTTCAGACAGCATTGAGGAGTACACCACATCAGTCACTGGCTTCATCAATAAGTGCATCGATGATGTCGTCCCCACAGTGACCGTACGTACATACCCCAACCAGAAGCCATGGATTACAGGAAACATCCGCACTGAGCTAAAGGGTAGAGCTGCCGCTTTCAAGGAACGGGACTCTAACCCGGACGCTTATAAGAAATCCCGCTATGACCTCCGACGAACCATCAAACAGGCAAAGAGTCAATACAGGTCTAAGATTGAATCATACTACACTGGCTCTGACGCTCGTCGGATGTGGCAGGGCTTGAAAACTATTACAGACTACAAAGGGAAGCACAGCCGCGAGCTGCCCAGTGACACAAGCCTACCAGACGAGCTAAACCACTTCTATGCTCGCTTCGAGGCAAGCAACACTGAAGCATGCATGAGAGCACCAGCTGTTCCGGACGACTATGTGATCACGCTCTCCGTAGCCGATGTGAGTAAGACTTTTAAGCAGGTCAACATTCACAAGGCCGCAGGGCCAGACGGATTACCAGGACGTGTACTCCGAGCATGTGCTGACCAACTGGCAAGTGTCTTCACTGACATTTTCAACATATCCCTGACTGAGTCTGTAATACCAACATGTTTCAAGCAGACCACCATAGTCCCTGTGCCCAAGAACTCTAAAATAACCTGCCTAAATGACTACCGACCCGTGGCACTGACGTCTGTAGCCATGAAGTGCTTTGAAAGACTGGTCATGGCTCACATCAACAGCATAATCCCAGAAACCCTAGACCCACTCCAATTTGCATACCGCCCCAACAGATCCACAGATGATGCAATCTCTATCGCACTCCACACTGCCCTTTCCCACCTGGACAAGAGGAACACCTACGTGAGAATGCTATTCATTGACTACAGCTCAGCATTCAACACCATAGTGCCCTCAAAGCTCATCACTAAGCTAAGGATCCTGGGACTAAACACCTCCCTCTGCAACTGGATCCTGGACTTCCTTACGGGCCGCCCCCAGGTGGTAAGGGTAGGTAACAACACATCTGCCACACTGATCCTCAACACGGGGGCCCCTCAGGGGTGCGTGCTCAGTCCCCTCCTGTACTCTCTGTTCACCCATGACTGCATGGCCAGGCACGACTCCAACACCATCATTAAGTTTGCCGACGACACAACAGTGGTAGGCCTGATCACCGACAACGATGAGACAGCCTATAGGGAGGAGGTCAGAGATCTGGCCGTGTGGTGCCAGGACAACAACCTCTCCCTCAACGTGACCAAGACAAAGGAGATGATTGTGGACTACAGGAAAAAAAAGAGGACTGAGCACGCCCCCATTCTCATCGACGGGGCTGTAGTGGAACAGGTTGAGAGCTTCAAGTTCCTTGGTGTCCACATCACCAACGAACTATCATGGTCCAAACACACCAAGACAGTCGTGAAGAGGGCACGACAAAGCCTATTCCCCCTCAGGAGACTAAAAAGATTTGGCATGGGTCCTCAGATCCTCAAAAAATTCTACAGCTGCACCATCGAGAGCATCCTGACTGGTTGCATCACCGCCTGGTATGGCAACTGCCTGGCCTCTGACCGCAAGGCACTACAGAGGGTAGTGCGTACGGCCCAGTACATCACTGGGGCAAAGCTCCCTGCCATCCAGGACCTCTATACCAGGCGGTGTCAGAGGAAGGCCCTCAAAATTGTCAAAGACTCCAGTCACCCTAGTCATAGACTGTTCTCTCTGCTACCGCACGGCAAGCGGTACCGGAGTGCCAAGTCTAGGTCCAAAAGACTTCTCAACAGCTTCTACCCCCAAGCCATAAGACTCCTGAACAGCTAATCATGGCTACCCGGACTATTTGCACTGCCCCCCCACCCCATCCTTTTTACGCTGCTGCTACTCTGTTAAGTATTTATGCATAGTCACTTTAACTCTACCCACATGTACATATTACCTCAACTACCTCAACTAGCCGGTGCCCCCGCACATTGACTCTGCAACGGTACCCCCCTGTATATATAGCCTCCCTACTGTCACTTTATTTTACTGTATATATAGCCTCCCTACTGTCACTTTATTTTACTTCTGCTCTTTTTTTCTTAACACTTTTTTGTTGTTTTATTCTTACTTTTTTTGTTTAAAATAAATGCACTGTTGGTTAAGGGCTGTAAGTAAGCATTTCACTGTAATGTCTGCACCTGTTGTATTCGGCGCATGTGACCAATAAAATTTGATTTGATTTGATTTGATTTGAACCTGTAATGTAAATGGATTTTTAAATTTGGATTTCATGTAATGGACATACACAAAATAGTCCAAATTGGTGAAGTGAAAAAAATAACTTGTTTCAAAAAATTCTATAAAATAAATAACGGAAAAGTGATGCGAATTCACCCCCTTTGCTATGAAGCCCCTAAATAAGATCTGGTGCAACCAATTACCTTCAGAATTCACATAATTAGTTAAATAAAGTCCACCTGTGTGCAATCTAAGTGTCACATGATCCGTCACATGATCTCAGTATATATATATACACACACATACATACATACATACATACATATATATACACACACACCTGTTCTAAAGCCCCAGAGTCTGCAACACCACTTAGCAAGGGGTGGGTTATAAAAAAAATATCCCAAACTTTGAACATCCCACGGAGCACCATTAAATCCATAAAAAAAAATGGAAAGAATATGGCACCACAACAAACCTGCCAAGAAAGGGCCGCCAAACCAAAACTCACGGACCAGGCAAGGAGGGCATTAATCAGAGGCAACAAAGAGACCAAAGATAACCCTGAAGGAGCTGCAAAGCTCCACAGCGGAGATTGGATTATCTGTCCATAGGACCACTTTAAGCCATACACTCCACAGAGCTGGGCTTTACGGAAGAGTGGCCAGAAAAAAGCCATTGCTTAAAGAAAAATATAAGCAAACACGTTTGGTGTCCGCCAAAAGGCATGTGGGAGACTCCCCAAACATATGAGACTAAAATTGAGCTTTTTGGCCATCAAGGAAAACGCCATGTCTGGCGCAAACCCAACACCTCTCATCACCCCGAGAACACCATCCCCACAGTGAAGCATGGTGGTGGCAGCATCATGCTGTGGGGATGTTTTTCCATCGGCAGGGACTGGGAAACTGGTCAGAATAGAAGGAATGATGGATGGCGCTAAATACAGGGAAATTCTTGAGGGAAACCTGTGTCAGTCTTCCAGAGATTTGAGACTAGGACAGAGGTTCACCTTCCAGCAGGACAATGACCCTAAGCATACTGCTAAAGCAACACTCGAGTGGTTCAAGGGGAAACATTTACATTTCTTGGAATGGCCTAGTCAAAGCCCAGACCTCAATCCAATTGAGAATCTGTGGTATGACTTAAAGATTGCTGTACACCAGCGGAACCCATCCAACTTGAAGGAGCTGGAGCAGTTTTTCCTTGAAGAATGGACAAAAATCCCAGTGGCTAGATGTGCCAAGCTTATAGAGACATACGCCAAGAGACTTGCAGCTGTAATTGCTGCAAAAGGTTGCTCTACAAAGTATTGACTTGAGGGGGTGAATAGTTACGCACGCTCAAGTTCTGTTTGTCTCTTTCTTGTTTGTTTCACCATCTTCAAAGTGGTAGGCATGTTGTGTAAATCAAATGATACAAACCCCCCCAAAAATACATTTTTATTCCAGGTTGTAAGGCAACAAAATGGGAAAAATGGCTTAGCCAAATACATTTAAACTCAGTTTTTCACAATTCCTGACATTTAATCCTAGTAAAAACTCAGTCTTAGGTCAGTTAGGATCACCACTTTATTTTAAGAATGTGAAATGTCAGAATAATAGTAGAGAATGATTTATTTCAGCTTTTATTTCTTTCATCACATTCCCAGTGGGTCAGAAGTTTACATACACTCAATTAGTATTTGGTAGCATTGCCTTTAAATTGTTTAACTTGGGTCAAACGTTTAGGGTAGCCTTCCACAAGCTTCCCACAATAAGTCGGGTGAATTTTGGCCCATTCCTCCTGACAGAGCTGGTGTAACTGAGTCAGGTTTGTAGGCCTCCTTGCTCGCACACACTTTTTCAGTTCTGCCCACAAATGTTCTATAGGATTGAGGTCAGGGCTTTGTGATGGTCACTCCAATACCTTGACTTTGTTGTCCTTAAGCCATTTTGCCACAACTTTGGAAGTATGCTTGGGGTCATTGTCCATTTGGAAGACCCATTTGCGACCAAGCTTTAACTTCCTGACTGATGTCTTGAGATGTTGCTTCAATATATCCACATAATTTTCCTTCCTCATGATGCCATCTATTTTGTGAAGTGCATTAGTCCCTCCTGCAGCAAAGCACCCCCACAGCATGATGCTGCCACCCCCGTGCTTCACGGTTGGGATGGTGTTCTTCGGCTTGCAAGCCATCGCCTTTTCCCTCCAAACATAATGATGGTCATTATGGTCAAACTGTTATATTTTTGTTTCATCAGACCAAGGGACATTTCTCCAAAAAGTACAATCTTTGTCCCCATGTGCAGTTGCAAAGCATAGTCTGGCTTTTTTATGGTGGTTTTGGAGCAGAGGCTTCTTCCTTGCTGAGCGGCCTTTCAGGTTATGTCGATATAGGACTCGTTTTACAGACAAGGTCCTTTTATGTTGTTCTGGGATTGATTTGCACTTTTCACACCAAAGTACGTTCATCTCTAGGAGACAGAACGTGTCTCCTTCCTGAGCGGTATAACGGCTGCGTGGTCCGATGGTGTTTATAGTTGCGTACTATTGTTTGTACAGATGAACGTGGTACCTTCAGGCGTTTGGAAATTGCTCCCAAGGATGAACCAGACTTGTGGAGGTTTACAATTCTTTTTCTGAGGTCTTGGCTGATTTCTTTAGATTTTCCCATGATGTCAAGCAAAGAGGCACTGAGTTTTAAGGTAGACCTTGAAATACATCCACAGGTACACCTCCAATTGACTCAAATGATGTCAATTAGCCTATCAGAAGCTTCTAAAGCCATGACATCCTTTCCTGGAATTTTCCAAGCTGTTTAAAGGCACAGTCAACTTACTGTATGTAAACTTCTGACCCACTGGAATTGTGATACAGTGAATTATAAGTGAAATAATCTGTCTGTAAACAATTGTTGGAAAAATTACTTGTGTCATGCACAAAGTAGATGTCCTAACCGACTTGCCAAAACTATAGTTTGTTAACAAGAAATTTGTGGAGTGGTTGAAAAACGAGTTTTAATGACTCCAACCTAAGTGTATGTAAACTTCCGACTTAAACTGTGTGTATATATATATATATATATATATATATATATATACACACACACATACACACATCTAATCAATGGTGTTTTTAGTGATAATGTGACACATACTACCTCAACCCTTTCCCTAAAACTATTCAGCCGTAAACATCAGGTCAAAAGCATCTGACATGATATATCGAGACCTTGGGACTGACTATAAGGTTCTATCTGACGTGTGTAAAAAATGAGTTATTCACATAGAGTTGCTCTTTAGGAGGTCCTTCACATGCGACATACAGTATGTCAGATCTGTGAAAAAGTCTGAAAGCTGTATCTGTACAAACACCTTTGAACTTGGTTCTAAAAGGCTATATCTGCAATCCAATCACACAATGCTGGGTTGTCAAAAATATAATTGTATTTAAGGTGATGTACTTTGAGTCATGAAAGAGGAAGACATCACAAAACAGTCTGGGACTTCAAAAAAATGAATCTCAAAACCATACATTTTGCACATAGAACCTTTTAGTCTCAAGTCCTTGATTGTTCATATCACAAGTTATTGTCCTCTTTTGCAATTACTTAGATGTTTTACACTAATTAAGCTCTTTATGGTAAACATAAATAAATACAGGTGCCTTAGAGCATGTTGATGGACTATTGGAGAGGCATTGCGGTTTGTCTTGTTCTACATCAATACGCAAGCATTAATGGAAGGAGTATTTCACAAAAATTACAGACATAACACATTTTATTGATAACTATCAAGTAGTTTACTGACGTTGGGTGTCAGAGACCAGAAAAATATATCAGTTTACTCATCCAGAGCTAAGCTTTAGCAATGTTGCTTAGTTCTCGATAGGATATAGTGTAGTTGTCATTTTAGTGAACTATCGATCATGTGATGAACATTAATTAATATATTTGATGATGTGGTTAGAAAGAAGGGTACTCTCTTTATTTAATCATTAAATATCTGTAATAATTTTTACATTCTGTGCCAGATAGAACCTTATGGCTGAACCCATATTGACATTTCAGAACCATGAGGTTCTATCTGCGTTTGCACCCCCAAACAAAAAAAACATGTCTCAGGATTTTGATATTCTGTCATTTAAGTACCTTGAAGGTGAGGACCTTAAATGGGTTATGAATGAATTCACTACAAAACAGTTCTGAGATCTGGGATGTGAAAACTTTGATTCTCAATATCTCTGAAATATGCTTTGCACAGATATAACCTTATCGTCCCAAGGTCACAATATCTTAATAATAAATTATGAGTGTGCAGCTGTACACACATTTACTGGTAAAGACGTGATAAGATATTCCTTATTTATTTCAGATTCCATGACGTGAGACTAGACTGGAGGAAAATTCTGTTGAATATATGATTCTTAAATCTATCTGAGCTCTTTGCTTAGTCAGCAATCTGATCTAAGTGGTAGGCACTGGCAGTCATGTCAGTAGCCTGTTCACATTGCCTGTCCCTCAAATGAAAGGATCATGAAAAGAAAGGCCTCAGGGATGATTACAGGGGAGCTTGTTTCACCGTGACTCACTCCACTAGCAATGACCTTACTGGAAATGGTGGGAGGAGGGGTTTTCAGAGAAGTCATCTGATAACTGGAGGCCAATCACAGGCCAGATAGAGAAGTCAGTAGATAGTGATGGACAGTTAAGTAGAGTTCGATCCCAAAATAAAAGACTGAACAAGAGTATATAGGACTCCACAGATTTGGGTGGAATGAGGCATTCAAGAGGCAGGCTACTACACTCTGAGATGTGAGAACAGAGTCTCCACTCACCTGAGCGGTCTCTGCCTGCTCCAGCATCTCCTCAAACTCCTCATAGTCTTCGTCATCTGGGTCTGCTCCAGATAGCCTGGCTGCTCGGGCCATGAAGTAGGGGGGCAACTCCCCAATGGCTGTGCCTGCACCCTGGAGAGACAGTCACACACTGGGTTAGCTTAGCACTGGTTCATACACACTGGGTTAGCTTAGCACTGGTTCATACACACTGGGTTAGCTTAGCACTGGTTCATACACACTGGGTCATACCACAGTCAGGCATAGCTCTATGGTCTCTCACTACTAGAGGATGTCATAGGTGAGGTTACATGAGGTCAACCGAAGACTACCAATATTGAGCCCTCAAGTTGCCCTGATTGTTCTAAACCCAAAAAGGAGCGCTTTCCCCAGGCACAGATTAAGTCCTGGACAGAAAAACAAACTTTAATGGACATTCTCCATTGAGCTTGTTTTTTTGTTGTTGTTGAGGACTAGGCTTAATCTGTGTCCAGGAAACCGCCCCATAGAGTTCACTAGAATGTTGAACCTTAGTTTAATTATACTTATTTTTGCCATTGAATAAAGACAGATGTTTACTCACCCACATACAGGCCTCCAGGCGGACCTTTGAGACGATGGACCAGAGTGAGATGCTGCCCTCCATTCCACCTCCCTCTGGGCAGATGATCTGGTCTGGGTAGGGGGGCTCTGGGAAGTCTGTAGAACCACACTCATACGCAGCCAGGGTGACTGATGCTATGTGTGGACCCTGAGAGCCAGAGGATGGATGGGTATTCCTTAACTCAACATGTACAGTTGACACAAACACTAGAGCTGGGATGATAAACCGAAAATTACGGACATCGCCGCCTTCTTACCAAAATATTTTGCTTACATTGGTAATGTTCGGTGATTTTGCTACACAACATTCCTATAGATTGTTCTAAAACCATTATTTGGTCAACAGTAATAGCCTATGCATTATGTTGGTTCCTGCTGGTCCCTGTCGGCTGCCGACTCTCACTCCCTCTCCCCACTGTGCGCACGGAGGAGGGAGAGATGTATTCTGAGAAGCACAAATATACAGTGCATTCTGAAAGTATTCTAACCCCTTGACTATTTCCACATTTTGTTACATTACAGCCTTATTCTAAAATTGATTAAATTATTTTCCCCCCTCACCAATCTACACACAATACCCCATAATGACAAAGCAAAAACTGGTTTTTATCATTTGTTTCTAATGTATTAAAAATAAAAAACAGAAATATACATTTACATAAGTATTCAGACCCTTTACTCAGTACTTTGTTGAAGCACCTTTGGCAGCGATTACAGCCTTGAGTCTTCTTGGGTATGACGCTACAAGCTTGGCACACCTGTATTTGGGGAGCTTCTCCCATTCTTCTCTGTAGATCCTCTCAAGCGCTGTCAGGTTGGATGGGGAGCATTGCTGCACAGCTATTTTCAGGTTTCTCCAGAGATGTTCGATCAAGTTCAAGTCTGGGCTCTAGCTGGACCACTCAAGGACATTCAGAGACTTGTCCCGAAGCCACTCCTGCATTGTCTTGGCTGTGTGCTTAGGATCGTTGTCCTGTTGGAAGGTGAACCGTCGCCCCAGTCTGGTCCTGAGCGCTCTGGAGCAGGTTTTCATCAAGGATCTCTGTACTTTACTCCGTTCATCTTTGCCTCGATCCTGACTAGTCTCCCAGTCCCTGCCACTGAAAAACATCTTCACAGCATGATGCTTTAGGGGCCTATTGGCAAACTCCAAGTGGGAAGTCATGTCCCTTTTACTGAGGTGTGGCTTCTGTCTGGCCACTCTAACATAAAGGCCTGATTGGTGGAGTGCTGCAGAGATGGTTGTCCTTCTGGAATGTTCTCCCATCTCCACAGAGGAACTCTGGAGCTCTGTCAGAGGGACCATCAGGTTTTTGGTCACCTCCCTGACCAAGACCCTTCTCCCCTGATTGCTCAGTTTGGCCAGCTTTAGGAAGAGTCTTGGAGGTTCCAAACTTCTTCCATTTAAGAATGATGGATGCCACCATGTTCTTGGGGACTTTTAATAATGCAGCATTTTTTTTAGGTACCCTTCCCCAGATCTGTGCCTCGACACAATCCTGTCTCGGAGCTCTACAGACAATTCTTTCGAACTCATGGCTTGGTTTTTGCTCTGACCTGCACTGTCAACTGTGGGACATTATATAGACAGGGGGGTGCCTTTCCAAATCATGCCCAATCAATTGAATTTACCACAGTTGGACTCCAATCAAGTTATAAAAACATCTCAAGGATGATCAAAGGAAGGAAACAGGATGCACCAGAGCTCAATTTCAAGTCTCATAGGGAACGGTCTGAATACTTATGTAAATGTGATAGTTTTTTTATTTTATTTATACATTTGCAAAAATTTCAACAAACCTGTTTTCGCTTTGTCATTATGGGGTATTGTGCGTAGATTGATGAGGACATTTTTATTTAATGCATTTTAGAATAAGGCTGTAACGTAACAAGATGTGGAAAAGGTGAAGGGGTCTGAATACTTTCCGAATGCACTGTATGACCATTGCTCAAAATGATATTGCGGGACATAGTTTAAAGCAACTCCTGTTCTACACTGAACAAAAATATAAAACGCAACATGTAAAGTGTTGGTCCCATGTTTCATGAGCTGAAATAAAGGATCCCCGAAACTTTCTATACACACTAAAAGCTTATTTCTCTCAAATTTGGTGCACAAATTTGTTTAGATCCCTGTTAGTGAACATTTCTTTGCCAAGATAATCCATGCACCTGAAAGGTGTGACATATCAAGAAGATGATTAAACAGCATGATCATCATCAAGTTGAGGGAGCGTGCAACTGGCATGCTGACTGCAGGAATGTCCACCAGAGCTGTTGCCAGAGAATGTTATGGTAATTTCTCTACCATAAACTGCCTCCAACGTTGTTTTAGAGGATTTGGCATTATGTCCAACCGACCTCACAACCGCAGACCATGTGTATGGTGTCGTGTGGGCGAGTGCCCCATGGTGGCGGTGGGGTTAAGGTATGGGCAACGAACACAATTGCATTTTATCGATGGCAATTTGAATTCACTGAGATACCGTGACGAGATCCTGAGGCCCATTTTCGTGCCATTCATCCACCGCCATCACCTCATGTTTCAGCATGATAATGCACAGCCCCAGGTCGCAAGGATCTGTACACAGTTCCTGGAAGCTGAAAATGTCCCAGTTCTTCCATGGCCTGCATACTCAGACATGTCACCCATTGAGTATGTATGGGATGCTCTGGATCGACGTGTTCCCGCCAATATCCAGCAACTTCGCACAGCCATTGAAGATCAGTGGGACAACATTCCACAATCAACAGCCTGATCAACTCTATGTGAAGGAGATGTGTCGCGCTGCATGAGGCAAATGGTGGTCACACCAGATACTGACTGGTTTTCTGATCCACGCCCCTACTTTTTTTTTTTAAAGGTATCTGTGACCAACAGATGCATATATGTATTCCCAGTCATGTGAAATCCATAGATAAGGGCCTAATTTATTTATTTCAATTTACTGATTTCCTAATATGAACAGTAAAATTTTTGAAATTGTTGCATGTTGCGTTTATATTTTTGTTCAGTATAGTTACAGAGAGGAGAGGCACAGCTTTCTGTAAGTATGTCAATGTATTTCTCACCTCTTAATATTGAGTTCATGGCACCACTTTACAACCGGAGTAGGCTGTAGTTAGTATGGTTTTGATGCGCCCGCGGGGCGGAGATGAGCGCCTTATTTGCCTACATCAAGTAGCCTAGGCCTAGCGCTGGAATGTTTTTGTAGGACATTAGCCTATATTTACTGATAAATTAAATCAAATTAGTCTACATGGATATCGTTTGTTGTATTTGTTGTTATCGAGCAAAATAGTAACATTTAATCGCAATTACTTTTTGTACATAACGCACAGGTCTAGCACCACCCACAAAAATTATTGTAATTTATCGTTATCACAAAACATTTTTGTCAATTTATCACAATATGGGTTTGTCCATATCACCCAGCTCTAACACACACACACAGCTGAGTCAGCACAGCCTCCCCCAACAGCCTGGTATGCAGTTCCATGAATCAGAGCACAAGCTTAGCCACCTGGCTTCATTAACAGTGAGGGCAGTCAGGGCACCTGAAACCACAGCACAGGAAGCCTATTATACTGCCTCCTGTTGAGATACCACAGTGACAGGAGATAGACAGAAGACAATTAGTCAGCGCTGATCCCCATAGCTCTCCTAGAGAGTGTGAGCGGACATGCTGACAAGTCTTCTTTTCACAATATGGGTTCACAAGGTCTCAATCCCTGCCTTTCCTTCCGTTACAAATCTATACTTGTTTCACCATGATGGTTACTCAATAATAACAAGACAACACCTTTTCATTATTTGGAAGTAAATAATCCTCGAAACATAGCAAATGACATGCACGGTGGCCATTGCCTTGATTGATTTCCTTTGTTTAGCAAAATAAGAAAAAGACAGTCCCTACATTTCCATCTGAATCCAGCATGACCAGACTCATGAATCATACAATTATGCTTGTAATGCCCAGCAAAATATCTCCGCTCCTTACTATGGGGTATCTAATCCATAGCAGCTCTTCAGAGGGCAGATGTTTCTGGCACCCTTCAACTAGGGACTTTCCAATATGTTGACCTCACCTCTGAGTTATTTGTGTTTGGTAAAGTGTGCACATAGCCTATTTTAGCAGGGAGCACAACCTCACTATTCTCCAGATAGGAGGAGATATTGTTTTCCAAAAACCAGTTAAGCAAGCACTCATATCCATATATTTCTCATCCATATATTTATATATTGTTATTCCATTCCTTTACTTAGATTTGTGTGTATTAGGTTTTTGTTGTGGAACTGTTAGATATTACTTGCTAGATATTACTGCACTGTCGGAACTAGAAGCACAAGCATTTCGCTACACTCGCAATAACATCTGCTTAACCATGTGTAGGTGGTAATAGATTTTATTTACTCAAGTGGTTGATATTTTAGTGATGCCTTGATTCAAATATAAAGCAAACATACTGGTAATATCCACATGAACATTTGTACAATACAAAGTAGGCCTACCGCTATAGAAATCATGACAATGCATCTTTGAATTCATATAGAATAATTTGAGTGTTTGTAAGTTGCATTAGACAGCTACATTTTCTCATTTTGGAGAAGATTACTGAAAGCTGATGGAAATAACCTCCCTCACATTGAGTGGAGAGATGTGGGAAAGGGAATGAGGTCATACACACGTCTAGGGAAGATGACACGTCATGAGGTCAACACCACCAACACTACCAGAGGCTGTGGTTTACAGGCCCGTCTCTACTAGTGGGTTTGGGTAGTGTGTGTAGTGAGGAAAATAATGTGTAGTTAGGCATAGAATTGGAAAGGCTACAAAAGTAAATTGTATTTCCAAAGCAGCTATTTCTAAAGTTCAGTACAAACGTTGCAATTTCCCATTTGTAAATGTGGAGCTGTTGGACTCAAGGGTACATCATAAGATCTAGTGAACAATGGCCACATCACTGAAAAAGTGGGGACCTCTGTAGAATCACTTCCTTGTCTTCATCACAGTTTAATGATTCATTTTACCACAGCCAAGATGGATGTCACAAACAAAACACACAATGAGGAAGGAGCGTGACTCAACCACAGTCACACTATGATCACTCATCAGGAACTAGGGCAGTGGAGGCCATGAAATTGTC